AATGGTCAATAGAATTAGTGAAATTCCAATTAAAACCTAAATAAGTTTTTTATTAGACATGCTGTTTTATTGTAAAATGTGTATGTAAGAGCAAAGATGCTTTGTAAGAACAAAATTTGTTTTTCCTTTTGATTATGCCCAACCCATATATCAATCAAGATTGATTTATAGTAATGGTGTTTGTACACCATTGTACATGCAGAAAAATACAAACAGTAAAACAGAGCAAAAAGCCTAGAATACATGCATATGTGGAAAGATAATGTATTTCAGAGATGAAATTATTGATAAATAGTGAAAAGAAAGATTGTTCAAATAAATGCCAGTGAAGTTTGATACTCACATGGAAAATTGAGCCCTTATTACTTGCATTAGACAAAAATGAATTTCTGGCATAGTAAAGACTCTGGGTGAAAGACAAATCTATAAAACTTTCAGAAGAGAATGTAGAGATTTTCTTTATGACCTTTGGGAGAATTATTTTTTAAGTTGATGAAAAGTCAAAGCACAAAATGTAAAGGAAAAGTTAATAATATTGACTACATTAAAGTTAAATATTCCTGTTCAAAACAGTGAAAAGACAAGTTCAAAAAGTGGGGGGAATTATTTGCAACATGTATAATTGGTAAAGAGTATCTTGAAAAGATTTCTTGCAAACACATAAACAGCCTCATAGAAAAGTGGGTAAAACACTTGAACAGGCATTTCACAGATGTGAAAACATAAATGGCTAGTAAATATGTTCAGTCTCATCAAAAATCAGAGAAATGAAGAATAACCACAATGAGATATTTGCATCTATCAGATTTGCAAAATTTAAATGTACAAGTATCAAGTGTCAGTCAGATGCATAACAAATGGAACTTGCATACACTGTTGGTGATATATCAAAATCCAGTAGAATTAAAAGCTTGAGAAATTAGGCCACACAAAAATTAAAGTTCTGCTATAGGAGGAAAATCCCATAAACAAAAGACAAAAACATTGCAACATTTATGATAAATTATAAATATGACAAATTATTAAGTAATTTCTCTCCATATAGAGTCCTTACAAGCCATTAACTAAAAGACCATCGTACTTGCAGGAAAAAAATGGAGAAAAAGGTAGGACCTAGTGATTCACAAAAAATAAGATGACTCAACCTTACTAAAAATGAAAGAAATACAAATTAAAACCACCAGGTTCTGTTTTTATTGCTTGCAAAGATTAGTTTGATAAAATACTAAAAAAATTAAAATACTTTCTTATGAAAGGAAAAACATTAAAATAAAAGTAAAGGACAAATAAAGATGAGTTATTAAGAGGCTAAGGAAGCAGTACCTGAGAAGTGGTTGTAAAGTGGATTATGAAGTCACAAAACTCAGGAAGAGCTGATTGGTCAAGTATCAAAAGTAGAGAAGCCAAGTAAGATATGAACCAGAAATGTACTAATGTGAATGAGAGACTGACGTGGATGTGGGTGACTAAAGATTGCTGTTTAGGTAGATTAATGGAGGTGGAAATTAAAGAGTGAGAAGGAAGGAGAAAGTGACATAGATAAAGGTAAATATGACTCTGGTGGATTTTATTTTGTTTTTTAAATGATCAGGTTTCAGCCTGTTTAAATGCTGTTGAGCAGGATGGAGAGAAGCAAAGTGGATAGGGGACAAAATTCAGAATATAGTGAAGAGATGATTGCAAAGACAGTGTGAGTGTAGGAGGAGAAAGAGCCCTAAAATGGCTATCATGAGACCTAGTTTTTATTGTTTCAGTTCTTTGACACTTAGTTGCTTCATCTATAACAGGAACTGGCAAACTTTTTCTGTAAAAGGCTAGATCGTAAATATTTCAGTTTTTGTGGGCCATAGTGTCTATGTCATTTATTCCACTATATTTCTTCTAAAAGGAAAGCACCCATAGACCATAGATAAATGAATAGGTGTGTCTGTGTTCCATTAAACTATGGACCTTGACTGTCATATAATTAAATGACATTAACTATTTCTGATTTTCAGTCGTTTATTGTGTGGGCCCTACAAAAACAGCTAGTGGTCTAGATTTTGTCCACAAGCTATACTTTACCAACCCCTGATCTATCAAATGAAAATTTGGACTGAAATATGTATACATAAAATAAATACACACTTAATGGATGTAATCAGAGGACTTAATCTCATTAAGCATATATTTATCATATGTATGATGACTTAACCTTTTGTTTATTAGAAGTAATTCTTAGTCTCAACTGTTTAGAACTCTCAAGAGCTCAGAATTTGTGTTTGTGACTAAAGTTCCAAGAATATCATTTATTCATCATTTATTCTTCAGAACTCTCTCCTGAGATTACTGAAAGAAGAATGATTTTGTCACATCCACATACCATCATTACAAAAATTTCTTCAGTATTTTAAAATAGACTTATTTTTTACTTAAGTATATTTGGGGATGGAAAATAAGTGGAAAATCAGTATTAGTACAAATAAAAGGTAATAGTAAAAATAAGAACAATATATTTGCCAGAAGATAGCCTGAAACTGAGGCATTGTTTATTTTGTCAAAAAGAGAGCAGATGTTTAGAGATATTAAAGGTAAGTCAACAAGCTGATTAATGTAAAAGTTTGAAAGAGAACCTAAAAAAACTTCCTCAATAATGCTTCATGTATCTATAGGCATCCTGAGGAAACCTTTTCATAACTAATAGTAAAGTCTTATTATTACAATTCTAGGGCTTTCAAGTTCAGTTGAAGCACTAACTACTGTTTTGTTTTTATTTCTATTTACAAGGTACTGTTATTAAAGACTCTTACAGTAATAAGGTAAAAAAATGTTGCAGGTTAATTTACTAATTGCTGATCTAGCACTTGAAGTCTCAAGCACTCAGATGTTTGATTTTTAATTTTAGTCTTAGTAATCTCAGTACAAATATTCTTTTAAAATGGACTTTAAGAGGAAAAAATGTTTCTGGCTTGACTATTTGACATAAAAGGGATTTATTCCTTTGCCACTGATTCATTTCTGAATAGTGCTTCTCCAAGGTTTTCAGAGCTAGATTCAGAACCAACATCACTTGACTTCTAATCTAGTTAACCTTACAGTACTGTGCTTTTCAACAAATTCTGTATAACCTGGTTCCATAGTATAGGCTTCAAGGTTACACTAACGGTTAATTGTGTTGAGTTTCTGTGTACCGGGTTCTGCAACCATGTGAGGTACTTGATACTATTATTAGTCACAGAGGCATTAGGTATTATAATATTGTTAATTAGTGGTAGAACCAAAATTTGAACCATTTTGATTTTTTTGCCTAAGTAAAATTTATTCTTAATCTGTAAACTTTCTTTTACAAGCTGAGACTCTCTCTTACTCCCAGAAATTCCCTAGCCCTTTAGTTTTTTATTTCCTTTATACTTCTTTTTTCTTCTGTCATTGTGAGCACCTCTAGCATACTGTTAAAGGAAGCAGTGACAGTGGGTGTCCTTGTTTTACTCTTAATTTGAGATAGTCCTAAACAAATTGAATTCCATAAATATTTATTACTAGTAGAGAAACATTTCATAACAAACCATACATCTGAAATATCGTTCTGCTTTCTAGAAGATATAATTTGACTGTATTTAAAAGCAATAAGGATTGTGCCCTCGCTGGGGTAGCTCAGTGGATTGAGCTCAGGCTGCAAACCAAAGTGTCGCAGGTTCAATTCCCAGTCAGGGTACATGCCTGGGTTGCAGGCCATGACCTCCAGCAACCACACATTGATGTCTCTCTCTCTCTCTATCTTCCTCTCTTCCCTCTCTAAAAATAAATAAAGTCTTAAAAAAAAAAGCAATAAGGATTATCATAGCACATGGCTCTTCAAGTATATTCAATGGATGATTGTATGCCTTACCTTGGTGTGCAGTAAGTATAGATCAAGATTAATTGAAGAGGTTTTTTATCAAATAAATTATTCTAAATAAATTATTCTTCTTTCTCCCTCTTACAAAACTACCAGATGACTATGGCAGTCTTGGTAGTTGTCTCTGGAGCTGGTAGAGATCTTAAGTGTATTCTTATTAGGAGCCAACACTGCTAGTGGCTAGATGAGAGAAAGAGTGATTTTCTTCTCTTTCTAGTGATGTCTGTCCATTCCCTATTCTGATCCACACTTGTTTCGGAAACTGCAGGATCACCTTTCATAAAGGGAATAGAAGTGTGGATTCGGGGGAAGGATCCATAAACCTTCAGTGGAATCTAACCCTTTGTGATCCTTCTGTGGAATTTTGACAGCTCTTAATTTGGATTGTTAGCTAATATTTGAGCTAAGTGTTTGATAGATATCAGGAGGCCCATGAACTGTGTTATGAAATGGTATTAAAAATACGTTTTTACATGTATGTGGGCTCCATAGCTTTTCTTTGATATCCAATATGAGTTCTACTTGAAAGGTTAAGAATCTATCAGTGTGATTGGGGAGGGGTTAGGAAGAGAAGGAAGGAGGGAGGAAAAAAAATTTGTTACTACTGGTAGTATAACAATATATGATGTCTGAACCATTTGTAGAGTGATATTTAGGAGCAACAGTCAATGAGGGACTGTTTTAGGCCATCAATTGTTGGGATAGCCTAGTAGTTCACTTAGAACTTTCATAAGTGTCTTCCAAAGCCAGAAATTCTAATATAGAGAATATTGTCTACTCACAGAAGTGTCTAGGAAAAATACTGTAAGAGGTAGAGTAATTGGCAAGAATTTTACCAAATGTTAGTAAAACGAAAAATTGGTGTTTGGAAGTTAAACTTTTCAGGAAAAAAGAGGTTCGTTACCCAATTACAATTACAGGAATTACAAGGAAAAAGTCTATTACAAACTACAAAATAAGTATTTTACCTGGCAAATTGAGATTGAAACCTGTTGCAAGTATGACCAAGAATAAATATTTATTTCCATGTAAGAACTTCTCAATTATTTTACTGCCATTGCCTTGTATATATTTATTGATATTTTGCTTAATAACTTTGGGTTGATTTTAGGACACCAAAAATATGGACATGAAAAAGATTGCTAAACACAAGACACTGTGGAAAATGAACTCAACCAGTGAACCTTTATTAATTACTGGTGTAGAAGACCATTCTTTGAAAAAATTTACCATTCCCAAGATCAGGAGGACGTCTAGGAAAGGTAATATTTTTGTGGAAGATGGGGTTATTTCATAACTATTACTGCGTTTATCTGATTCTTACTTTATATTTATCTTCTATTTTGACTATAAAATTAACTTGAGTCAGGCCTTTAATGCCTTAAACACACATGTACTTTTGGTTCCACACAAAATGGAATAGACATGTCTTCTGTCCCTCTCACTAAGTACACCTAAAAACTCTGGACATCATAGATAAAACAAACATAAAAAGACCTTGAAAGGTGGAGAGATGATGATGGACTGGCTAGGGACCCTGAGACTCAAGAAATGACATAGCAGTAAGTTCTCTGGATTTTCTTTGTGTTTCCTCTGTGTCTCAGATGGTATGCCCACAGCTCAGGAATGCCAGTTGTCAGCCACACACACACACACAAAACAAAACAGAAAAAGTCTGTTCTCTTTTGCCAAGGACTGGGAAAGGGACATTCTAAAAAGATAGAAGCCTGTTTTGACAATAAACACCCCACTCTTGCAAAACACTAGGGAAAAAACATAGTTCCTATACCTTTGTCAGCAAAGGTAAGTAGTATAGGCATAGACTTCCAACTATGTCTTTTCCCTTAAAGTTCTCCTCCCTGCCACCCCCTGACATTGCAGTGTCAGTGGATTTCCTCCCCTGCCCTGTGGTGATGGATCATCCTTTTCACTGAGAGTAGAGTCAGTGAAGATGAAGTGGGGAGCATGGAAACCTATATACCCACTAGTAACAAGGTATCCATCCCCCTCCAACAGCGTCAGGGGAGGCTGAGTAAGAAAGTGGACTTCTACCCCTTTTCCATGGTAACAAGGCATCCCCCCCAGGTGTCAGTGGAGACCCTTTGGAAAACCAGGACTTACACTTTGCCTGGTGGTGAAGAGTCCGTATCGCCACCCCCTTTTCCCTACTGGCACTTATTCTACCAGCTCAGATTTAGTAGAGGCTTGTTAAAGCACAAGATTACACTTGATCCAGAGGCTCTTGACAATACCTAAATGACCAACATGTAATTAAAAACTTACTCGTCTTACCACCACCCAGGAAAATCTCAACTTAAATGAGAAAAGGTAATCAATAGGTGCCAACACAGTGATGAAACAAATGTTGGAATTATCTGACAAGGCTTTTAAAGTGGCCATCATGTTTCAACAGCTATAAACACTCTTGCACAGATGAAAAAATACAAAATCTCAAATGCAAATGCAAAAATACAAAAGCAAAGAAATGACAAATATAATAAAGAACCATGTATAAGTTTTGGAACTGAAAAATACAGTAATTTAAATAAAAACTTATTTGGATGGTATCCAGAGAAGAATCAAGAAAACATTGGAAAGAATCAGCAAATTTGAAGGTATAACAATAGAAATTACCAGCCTGAACAATACAGAAAAAAATAACAGAGCCATAGGGAACTATGGAACAGTAATAAAAGATCTAACATCTTTGTCCTTGGAGTCCCAGAAGTAGAAAAGAGAAAGAATGTGGAGCTGAAAAGGTACGTGAAATACTGGCTGAAAATATTCCAAAGTTGGCAAAAGGCATAAACTTGTACATTCAAAAGGCTAAATAAACCCTAAATAGGGTAAACCCAAAGAAGTCCATGCCAAGGCACATCATACTCAAACTTCTGAAAACTAAAGATGGAAAAAATCTTAACATTTGAGAGAAATCAATGTTGTATATAGGAGACAAATTGACAGTAGACTCAATAGAAGCCATGGAGCCTAGAGGAAATGGCACAATATTTTTCAAGTGTAGAAGAACAAAAACTGTCAACCCTGTATTCTGTCACCAGCTAAAAATATCCTTCAGAAATAGAAGTGAAATAGACATTCTCAGATAAAGTAAAACTGAGAATTTTTCATCAGCAGATCCACCCTAAAAGAATGTAAACAAGGTTCTCCAAACAGAAAATGACAAGAGAATGAAGCTGCAAACATTAAGAATAAAGGAAGAACAATAGAGTAAAAATAAAGAGAAATACAGTAAGTTATTCTCTTCTTGAGGTTTATAATTATGTTGGACAGTTGGAGAAAAAAGTATAGCATTCTGTGACTGATCTCAGGGCATACAGAAGAAGTATTTAAGACAATTATAAAGCCCGATGTTACCATTGGAGGGAACTGAGTAAGTGGGATATAGGATCTTTCTGCACTATATCTTATGACTTAATGTGAATTTATCTCAGAATTAAAACTTCTTAATAAAAAGCATAGATAAATGAAAGTTGAATTTTAAAAATCCAAGTAACACACAGGAATACAGAAAATTGAAATAGAGAAACAGCTAAGGAAAAAAATAAACCAATGGCAGATTTAAGCCTTAACATATCAATTACATTAAATGTAAATGATCTAAATATATTAATTAAAAGAGATTGACATAACTATGTACTGTCAATAAATTCCTTTCACATACAGTACTACAGGTTGGTTGACAGTAAACACATGGTGAAATACAGGCTATGCAAACAATAAAAATAAAGCAGGAATGGCTATATTAACATCACATAAAGTAAACTTCAGAGGGAAGAAAATTATTAGCAACAAAGAGGGATATTACATGATGATGAAAAGGTGTGTCCACTAATAATAACAATCCTATGTGTGTATTCACCAAACAACAAAGCTTCAGATACAGAAGCATATTTGGTAAAACCGAAAGGAGAAATGGACAAATCCAGAATTATAGTTAAAGACTAGCTTTCCTCTCTCAACAATTGATAGTCAGCAAAGACATAGAAGTAAACACCATAAGCCCACAGGCTCTCACATTTTTACATTACCCATCAACAGCAGAGTAGACTTTTTTAAGCTCTTATTTGATACTCAAGATAGTATGTTGGGCCATAAAACACATATTTCAACATATTTAAATGAATTGAAGTCATGAATGTGTTTTCTGACCACATGCAAACTGGAAATTAATGTTTCCAAGCACATGGAAAGTAAACAACACATTTCTGAATATTCATGAGATTTCAAGAGAAATTAAAAGAAATTAAAAATAACATTGGACTGAATAAAAATGAAAATGCAGCATATCAAAATTTGAGGGAAGAGTATTGCTCACTAATTTATAGCACTAAATACTTACATTAGAGAGTAGGAAGGGTTTCAGATCAATCCAAGCTTTTACCTGAAGAAATTATAAAAAGAACATGATAAGCTCAAATCAAGCAGAAGAAAAGAAAATGAAACAAAAAGCTGTTTGATTGAAAACATTTTTTTAAAATGGCAAGCCTCTAGCAAGACTGACAAAGAAAAACACAAGCCACAAATTACCCCCGTCAGGGATGAAATGGGTGTTATTATCAACTCTGTTGGCACCATTTTTCCCACAGCATTTGCTCATTTCATGTCTCAATATCACATTTTTATAATTATTAAAATACTGAGACTTTATTATATTTGTTATGGAAATCTGTTATCAGTGATCTTTGATATTAGTATTGTAATCATTTTGAGGTACCACAAACCATGCCTGTGTAAGACAGATTAATTGATAAATGTGTGTTTTCTGTTCTGACCACTCATATGGCTTTTCCCTTCATCTCTCTTCTTATTCTCAGGCCTCTGTGTTCCCTGAGACACAACAATATTGAAATTAGTCCAGTAATAACCCTACAACGACCTCTGACTATTCAAATGAAAGGGAGAGTCACATGCCTCTTCCTTTAAATCAAAAGCTAGAAACCATAAGGCTTAGAGAAGCATGTTGAAAGCCAAACTAGGTTGAAAGCTAGGCCTGGGGCACCAGTTAGCCAAGTTGTGAATGCAAAGGAAGAGTTCTTGGAGGAAATTAAAAGTGAACGCACAATGGTAAGAAAGTAAAACAGCCTTATTGCTGATATGGAGAAAGGAAAGTGGTCTGGTTAGATCAAGCCAGCCACAACATTCCCTTAAGCCAAAGCCTAATCCAGAGCAAGAGGCTAACTCTTCAATTCTTTGAAGGCTGAGAGAGATGAGGAAGCTACAAAGAAAAGTTTGAAGCTAGCAGAGGTTGGTTCATGAATTTGAGGAAAGAAGCTTGCTCCATCACATGAAAATACAAGGTGAAATAGCAAGTGCCGATGTAGAAGCTGTAGCAAGTTATCCAAAGGATCTAATTAAGATAATTAGTGATGGGGGCAACACTAAACAACAGATTTTCATTGTAGGCAAAATAGCCTTATATTAGATAAAGATACCATCTAGGATTGTCATAGCTGGAGAGGAGAAGTCAGTGCCTGGGTTCAAGGCTTCAAAGGACAGGTTGACTATCTTGTTAGGGGCTAATGCAGGGTTGGCTTTAGGTTGAAGCCAATGCTCATTTACAATCCCAAAATTCCTACAGCCCTTAAGAATTATGCTAAATCTGTTCTGCCTGTGCTTCATAAATGAAACAACAAAGCCTGTATAACAGCACATCTGTTTATGATATAGTTAGCTGAATACTTTAAGCCCACTGTTGAAACCCACTAAAAAAAGATTTTTTTCAAAATACTATCACTCATTGACAGTGCCTTTGGTCACACAAAAGCTCTGATAGGGATGAACAATGAGACTAATGTTATTTTCATGCCTACTAACCCAACATCCATAAATTGAAAGCCTTCTGGGGAGGATTTTATTTTTAGATGCCATTAAGAATATTTGTAATTCAAAAGAAGGAATCAAAATACCAGCATTAACAGGAGTTTGGAATAAATTGGTTTCAATGCTCACGGATTACTTAGAGGGGTTCAAGACATCAGTGGGGGAACCAACTGCAGATGTGATGGACATAACAAGAGCTAGAATTAGAAATGAAACCTGAAGATATGACTGGATTGCAGCAATCTCAAAATAAAACTTCAGTGGATGAGGAGTTGCTTTATGTGAATGAGCAAAGTGGGGTTTCTTCTGTTTGTTTTTGTTTTTGTTTTGAAATGGAATCAACTCCTGGTGAAGCTCTTGTGGAGATTGCTGAAATAACAGCAAAGGATGTGGAATATTACATAAACTTAATTGATAAAGCAGCAGTAGGGTTTGAGAGGATTGACTCCAATTTTGAAAGTTCTACTGTGGGTAGAATGTTATCAAACAGCCACACATGCTATAGGGAAATCCTTTCTAGAAGGATGAGTCACATCAATATAGCAAACTTCATTGTTGCCTTATTTTAAGAAATTGCCACAGCCACTGCAGCCTTCACCAACCACCACCCTGACCAGTCATGAGCCACCAGCAACCCTCCACCAACAAAGAGATTATGAATTGCTTAAGACTCAAATAATGGCTAGAATTTTTTAGCAATAGAGTATTTCTAATTAAGGTATGTACATTTTTAGACATAGTGCAATATATTGGTCACTTACTAGACTACAGTATAGTGTAGACATAACTTTTGTATGCACTGCAGAACCAAGAAAAAATTGTATGGCTTGAGTTAGTAGGACACTGGCTTTACTGCCGCAGTCTGGAACTGAACCTGCACTAAATGTGAAGTACGCTTATGTTCACTAACTCAGTGTTGACCGCAACTTTAATAACAATCATCTGTATCTGTTCCTTTCTTTCCTCTGAAAGAAAGGATTAAGAGTTTTAATCCTTTTGTGTGTATCCTTAATAATACAGACATGCTTAAAAGATTGTTTATTTGTCCTGAAAAAATTTTTACCTCTTTTTCATACCACAGTGTCAGTCAGCAGTTTATAAATATGTTCTGGTGTTTTTGCAAGTCAGAGTAACCAAATAGTTTACTACTATATAGGGTTTTATTTAATTTGGGGAAAATACAAGAGATATTCACATGCTAACAGTAGCTCCCAGGTATGTGTATAATAATACTTGTAGAGTCAGTGTACGTCTTAAATTGAAAATGAGTCACCTGAATTCTAGTACCATTTGTCAACTTTCAGGAACTCCAAGAGGTATGTGGAGAAGAACAAGGTTCATATTTTCATTTATAACAGGTGTAGGAAGTCTATATTACTGTTATAAAACCTTAAATATAAATTATTGCCTCCAGATGTTAAAGTAAATTTCAAGTACTTGGTTATTTTGTGTCTTATTCTGATACAAATTGTCATTGTACAAGGATGTCATTTTAAATGCCAACCATTTGCCCTTTTCTTTATCTTTAGTTTACTTATCACCTTGTTTCACCAATACTAGAGAGTACAGTTTCATACACGATACTCTTAACCAGTGCCGGCTTGATGTAAGTTGTGATCTGCAGTCCTCATGGCAGTTTGGGGATACAAAACTGATTCACAATGAAGATCTGGAAAAAAATTTTACTTCTAAGAGGTAAGTTACTATGACCTAAAGAAATGTGAGATTTTGTGTTGTTTTTACTATGAAGTTTTACATGTATTTGTTATTTCTATCATTTGAGGTTTGATAAATATTACTTAGAAAATAAGTATATATTGTTTATTCATTATTTTGTTGACCTTCTTATAAGCCTTTTGTAATAGTGAAAAGCTAAGTGTGATATTTGTTTAGTAAGTTTTATACATTAACTAGCCAGATTTTAGGCATTCTTAATTTTTTAATTGATAACATTTTCAGAAGCATACATCAACACATTCATTAAGTAGCAATTTTGTAGATCCCTTGGTACCTCATGCACTATGTAATAGCAGTTAAAGTATTTAGAAAGTAACTTTTTTTTCCTTGACTCCACCCTTCAGAGACTGAATTGATGTTTTTATTAGGCAGGATTATATCTGGCTATTTCCAGCTATTCCACTAGAAGCACTATTTTTGACACTTAATTTTTTAAAAAGTATCTCTTCTCCTTTTCCGGAAGGTACATTCCATTATGTTATTTTTGATAAGAATTAGAGCACATGCAAGGTTCCCACAGTAAACATTTTGTATTTATAGGTGATTTTATGTGAACAAAATTTAGTGTAGCTTTTTCACTATCTGAACTTGGCTCCTTCACCAGTTTGCATTTATCTTAAAAGCTGATGGACCCACCCTTAGAACTCATTTTTAAATGTTCGGGGGTTGTTTTGTTTTAGAATCAATTCTCCATTCACACATGCTGTCCCACTTGGTGTTATTTTGGGAGAACTTAAGGAAATGACAATTAGTATATGGCATATTCTTTCGTCTAAAAACCTCAGTTTTGAGCAAAGTAGAATGGACTGAATATATCCTGCCCCTTTCAGATTGAAATAGGTTTGAACAAAAATGAATTCTTAGCATTGTTCTGTGATTCCAGTTCTCTTAGGCATTTAAAAATTTTGTCCTTTTTAACAAAGTGCCCCCCCACTCTGTAAGTTAATTTTCATCCAGTTATTTGTCTTTGTTAATGTTATAGAAATATTAGAACTACCACCCAGCAATATATGTTAGACATTCTAAATGACCAACAAGTCTATAGTTTTTGCCCATTTAGACAAATAGGACAAATTTGTTTTCCCATAGAACTTTATACTAGTTTAAAAGAATCAATCACAATATATTGGTTTTGTCTGATTTCCCTACTACACTGTGAGTTTTATCTTGTTTTCATGTCCATAGTATGGAACTGAGTCTGGCAAAACAGTGAACACTTAATCATTTAATTAGATTGAATTTTTATTTAACCTAATTTTATGTTTTTAAATATGAATGATGGTAGGAAGTACCTTAATTAGTCTTAAACCACAGGTAGAAAAGGAAAATAAAAGGAAAAATAAATAATAATGGTTAGAAAAATAATAGAGTAACAGGATGAAAAGAGAAAGTATTAATGATATTGATTGCCTCTGGCTTTTCTTTTTATCACTCCCCTTAGAAAAACTTATAACTGTGGTCTCAGCTAAAGAAAGTACCTCCAAAAAGATACCAGTCTCCACTTCTAATCTTTATTCCATCTATAACTTCTTAAGTGTGAAACCAGCAAAAACACATTAATCCAAATATCTGTGTATTCATTATACATTTGAGTGCCTACTGTGTCAGATATTATAGTTGATCCTTGAACAGTGTTGGAGTTAGGGACACTGACCACCTCTGCAGCCGAAAATCCACATAAACTACAGTCGACCACCCTCATACACAGATTCCCAATTACAGTTTGAAAATTCTGTAGTTGAAACCCTCAGAGAAAAATGTTTTCCCCTCCGCCTTAAAGAATTTGCATCCTAGTGGAAAGGATGTCCAGCTAAATATAAAATGTTATAATAAAGATACAGATGTACAGATGACGGGTGGAATATTCTTCCTGAGAGTCTTAGAGATGTTTTGAAGAGTTAAGAAACTTGAGCTGATCTTAATAGGTAAAAGAGAGACTGAAATCTTAAGTCCATTGCCTTATTTGTATCAGTTTGATCCTTTTTTGTTTTAAGATAACTTACTAACCTTTAAACATTTTATATATATATATGAAAGGATATTTTAAAGACTATCAGCACCCAGCTTGATGCTGTGGTTGAATTTGTACTTGACATCTCAGTTTACATTCCACTCAAGTGAGTAGTCTGAGCATGGTTAATTTCATTCACTTTACTTATGATTTCAAGAGTGGGCAGAACTAAATCTGTTTGGGCCAGTGATGCTCTGAGACAGATTGTCTTGGGGTGTTGAGTAGGGGGGAATTCGTTAGGGCCAGTTTGATGCGAACAAGGAAGATTGTTGCTCAAGCTACTCATAGCACTCTTGGAATAATGACACTAGTGTTTGGATACACTAAAGCTGAGAATAACAGAACAAAGAGATGGGGAAAACTGAATTCAAAGAAACCTGAATTCTTTTTTGTTTATTTCTTTTTTTATTTTTATTATTTTTTAAGATTTTATTTATTTAGTTTTAGAGAGGGAAGGGAGGGGGAGAGAGAGAGAAACATCAACGTGCGGTTGCTGGGGGCCTTGGCCTGCAACCCAGGCATGTGCCCTGACTGGGAATCGAACCTGTGATGCTTTGGTTCGCAGCCCGTGCTCGATCCACTGAGTTACACCAGCCAGGGCTGAAACCTGAATTCTTAACACTTGGAGCCATGGAATCAACCCTGATAAAGGCTGCCTGATTTCTGAATTTCTTGTCATAAGAGGTTAACTTATTTTTAAGCCAGTTTGAATGGGATTCTATATTTGAAGTCAGTAGCATTCCAACTGATACTCAATTTGGTACTGGGTAAGACATACTTGTGGAAGAGATTCTAAAGTACAGATTTAACCTGGAAGGAGGGCAATGAAGAACCCCACTGTTCCCAGGTGGGAAGGTTGTGGTATTCCCTTATACTTTGGGGCATATACCATATGCTTCATAGGCTGTGGTTTGTGGGGGAACTTTACAAAAAAACTTCAGAATATTGAAGTGCTTTGCCCATTTTCTGCTTCGATCCAAGAAGCCTTTAAAATTCAGAGTTAGAAAGAACCTTTCTGCTTATAGCCTAGTTTCACAGATCAGCTTTGCAAAATTAGCTTGAAGGAAAAATTAATCTTTTCCGGAGTTAATGTGAATATGGATTTAAAAGGAAGGAAATTTAGTGGGAGATAAATATGCCACAAAGCACAAATACATTGCCTTCTACCTTTCTCAGATATATTGAGCACTTTCCTCCTGGTAAATGGAACTACAAAAGTTTTTAGAGTAAAGGTATATTTTAAATGTAGTCTCAGGGAAGAAACTGCATCACGTTAGATTGCAATAGGTAAGGGCCACTCCAAATTCAGGGTCTTGGAGGATGGAAAGTTTTGAGAGGCTTGTAGCCAGGAGACAAATTGCTAATCACTACCATTGTCCAAACAAGGTCTTGCTATGGTTACTAGCTTTTGGAATTTTGAGGGGGGGGGGGGCGGCAAAGAATTCCTGGCCACTACATTGTAAAAGGATAGACTTTGTGCTCAGTAAGGGTCAATTAATGCTGAACATTTTTGTGTCATTCTTCACTTTTCTGAATTTAATTGTAGTCATTTTCTCTCCACCAGTGGATTTTGAGTGTAGATAAGTTTGTAGCCATGTATTTCCTAATGTTGACTATATGGATCTATATCCACACATTTTGGAAATGAAAGCATATTACTCACGTGATGGATCTAAAGTTAGATGCAATAACTGGATGAGACTTTGGGTTATTTTCTTTTGTGAAGTGGATTGAAGGTGTTTGGTGTGAGCATGAGCATTTTTAAAGATCTGTGTTTTGAAAGAAGGGTGCATATAAGTAACCAATGAGTAGACTATAATCTCCCTAATAATTGTAAGTCATCTTATCTTATATAATTAGATTAAACTATTCTCTGTCCCATCCCCCTTACCTTTATTAGTTCATTGACATCCAGACCTAGTCATTATTCATATATTAAACAAAAACTTTCACTGTTGAAGTTTTCTTAAGAGGAAAGGGTTTTATTGAGTGAGTCATTGCTAGCCAAAAAGGACCAAGCCTGGGGCTAAGTCTAAACTGTCAAACAACAGGGCTAGATGGAGAAAACATGTCCACTGTCCTGGAGTTGATGGGCTTTTTACTATATCAGGTAGGCAGAAGAAAGATACAAGCTGTTCTGAAAGAATTTACATTGGCTATATAGATAAAAGGGGTGAAAGGGAGGGAGATAAGTGCATAGTCTGTAAGAAGTAAGGGTTTGCTCTTCAGGATGGTTGTGAGCAACAGTCTGGAAACTTCATGCCAAGTAAGATGGAGAAGTTCACCTGGTGGTTGGCTACACAGCTATTCTTTTTAGATAATTGAGGAAATAGCCACCTGGAAGTTAATTCATTAAGTTTCAACATACATTGAGGAATGTAAGCAGTCTCTTGTTTGTTTTGCCCTGCAATTGTTAACTGATTAAAGTATTGTCTCTTCATGCTCCAGCCCATTATAATTTAATTTAGGATATCTCAGAATTTTCTCCTTTTCCGGTTCAGTCAAACAGCGTGAGACTTGCTTGGAAATCCTGAGATGCTGAAGTCATTGTCTCCGCAGGTGTGAGCAAGGAAGCTAGTAGACCTAGCTGCTGCTGGCAGCCCTCTTAGGACCATAAGAGGAGCCATGACAGAGGTAAAGATGATCAAGTTGTGGACAGCAGCCTGATATTGTTGGACTTCCTGATATTGTTGAGGGACTAAATAAGTTTCTGAATTTGCTTGTGGTGGGCAGCATAGTGCTCCCCCAAAGATGTCCACATCTTGATTTCTAGAACCTCTGAATGTGTTACTTTACGTAAGGAAAAGGACTCTGTAAATGTGATTGAGGTCAAGGACCTTCAGATGGGTGATTATCCTCAGTTATCTCACGCCCTACTTGAGCTCTCAGAAATGTAAGAGAAAGGCAGAAGAGTGGGTCAGAGAGAGGAGACAGAATAAGTATAAGA